TTTTTATTATAATTTTGCTCAAAGTGTATTTGAATTACTTAATAAGAAAACATATTAAAAATTTTGTTTAATAAATAACAAATCACATAAGTTTGAATAAATTATATCACTATAATATTCATAAACAGCTACACATATTGTCTTTAAATTTTTCAAGCCTGCATCCAGAATATTTTAAATGGTGTAACGTGAGAAATATTTTTTTTCATTTTTCTTATATAATTGTGGAAATTAATTACAGTCGACCTCCCTATAACACTGTTGATAATTCCGTTTTATATGAATTCCATGTAGTACGAGTCACTTAGATTTTACAAATACGTGTGCCGGGCTGTGAAAGGCTCACGTATTTGAAAAATCTAAGTGACTCGTACATGGAATTTATATAAAACGGAATTATCAACAGTGTTATAGGGGGTCGACTTATTTAATGTACTGGGATAGTAACATATGTTTAACTATTTAATACTAATGGTTTAAAATAAAAACAAAAATAATCAACCTTTCCATATTTGGTCTCGATTTTCGTCTATCAAATCTCTGTTCTCGAGATTAACGTAGTTCAGACAGTCAGACAGTCGGACGGATGACGGACGCCAATGGAAATTCATACATAACTCTGTAATTTGAAAATTGTAGCACAATTAAAATTAAAAAACAATAATTTTGTATTGAAAAGAAGATGCTAAGCTTACCTACGTGCTCCTTAAATACACCTTTATTAATTTGATAAAATTAAATAAACACTTCTGTATATGTCATGTTATTCAAAATTCTAAAGGAGAAGAAAATTATCCTGAAATTATATAATATTTGTTTCTAATTTAAGATATATAAAGATGCTATATTTATAAAAATTTCAAATTAATATTTTCTTTAAATCTTTGATAAATTATTCATTTTTTTCGCTTCTTAGTTCCTAGAAATGTGAAATTATACATACTTAATTGATTTAACATGGTTACATTAAGATTTTCTGTCTCTGCATCTAATAATTAGATAACTGGAGATATATAAACTTTCATTGATCCGGTAATAATAATAATAATAATAATAATAATTAGGTATCTTTAAATCTAAGATAAATTGTTATGTAAAACAATTAGTAATAATTTATTAATTAATGAATTAGTTTATCTAAATTCTAAAATAGAAAGTAAGTTTGTTTCATAAGTAATAATGATGTTTAATATTTCAATTTTTCATCATCGTTTAATAAAAATTTATTTATTTATTAATTTCATTAATTAAAATTTTTTAAATATTTAATATTGTAAGGAAAAGCTATTATGCAATAATTTAAAATCAAGAATAAAATAAGTATTAGATTTCTGTTCATGATTTTAACATATTTTATAAATATTAAGTTAATTTATCGACGAAGCTGATAAAATATCAAAATTTAAAGAAAGAAAATATTAATTTTTAATTATGAATATAAACTGGAAGTGGCTAGTTAAACTTTTATTAATCAATAAATAAATAAAGTAATTTTTGGTAACAAACAATAATAATTAAGTAAAATATTTGTATTTAGAAATTAAATTGCGAATGAATATAACAAATATAAATAAACGAACCTATTGTTTTTGAGTTGTTGACTTGTAAGGACTACAATTTAGTTTTAATTCGAAATCTTTCATTATGTCTGAATTCAATTATACTGTAAATTAGAAATTAATAGGTTAGTTAAGAAAAAGAAAATTATTTTAGTTTTTAAGATTTAATTAACTAATTAAGGCGATTTAAAATAAATTTCTTTATTGAATTTAAACACAATTAAATTGTAAAATGTTTCTTTCCTTTCCACTCGAACAATACGCAACAGGAATAATCAAATAATCGTGATTAATTACATTCGCATCTCCTTTTAGTTTTAAAAAGATTATATTTGGATAGAATATAAATATACAATGACTAATTAAAAACTTTCTTGAAATACTTAAAAACATTATTGGCATTAATGTCAGAACTTCTAACAAATGATTCTTTTGGTTTACGTGAAATTAAATTTAAAGTTTACTATGATAATTTTCCTTATTTATGCAAATCGCGTCAATGTTTACTTTTATCTGATCTTGAATTATAACTAATTAATCTTTTCTATAAATAAATTTCTTAATACGTTCTTCAATAAATTATCTGATGATATGTACAGAAATTATTAAATTATAATTTATTTTTTAATATTTTATTAGATGCTTTATGTCAGATTAACCATAAAAAAATGACAGATATATGAAAAATGAGATTTTGATAAACTGTTAAAGATAATCTAAATAAATAGGAAATAGATTAACGATAAGAAGATTCATATCTGATTGATCGATTAATGATATTCTGATAAAGGATAACTTTGTAGCGATATATTATATCGTCATTTTCTTTTATCAAAAAAAATATTTTATCAGATTACTGTATCAAGAAATAATATTTAAAATATCTGTTAGTTTTTTTTATATTTCCTTGAGAAATCAATGACGGAAAACATGACTTTGTTGACTATATATTCAATAATTAAAAATTTAATAAATTTAAATTACATTTGCATTGTTTATACACTGAATTTAAATGTAGAATATACATGTAAACAATTATAATATGAGTTTTAGTAATCATAAATGACAGTTTTAACGCTTCATTCTTCCTCTTCATTCGTTCTTCTTCATTCTGCATGTTACATCATGCAGAAGCATGATATATCTGTTTGTGTTCGAAAATAAAAGAAAATGGATGACGTTAACGTTTAGAACTCTTTAAATTGAAGTGAAATTAAGTTATTCAAACAATTACATAGTAACTTATAGGTCTATTAAATATCTACAGTATATTTTGAATTATTGGGTTGAGTCATAAATAAGTTCTGTTTTCTAAACTGAAATTTATTTGCCAATAAAATGTACAACAATCGACCTTAATCTAACACATATTCACCATCATTATTAATGACTTCTTGCCATTTTTCGGGCAACTTGTCAATTCCCCTTGCATAAAATCCTGGTGGTTTCGAATCAAAAAACTCCTGGACGAACTCCTGAACTTGGTCATCATTTTGGAAGCATTGCCTTTGTAAAGCATTCTGCAGTGCCCGGAAAAGATGGAAATCTGTTGGTGCCAGGTCCGCTGAATATGGTGGATGAGGCAAAACAGACCAGCCAAACTCCAAAATTTTTTCTTGTGTAATCTTCGCTGTGTGTGGATTTGCATTGTCATGCAATAAGGCGATCTTTTTTCTGTTAACAAGTGCAGGACGCTTTTCATGAAGTTTTAGCCGAAGTTGCTCTAACTGTTGTATGTATACATTTGCAGTAACAGTTTCATTGCGTGGCAACAACTCAAAATGGATAATTTTTCGACGATCCCACCATACACACAACAAAATTTTCCTTCCATGCACACTTGGCTTAGGGTCCGGTTGTAGCTGATCATTTTTGTTAACCCATTGTCTTTTTCGAATAACATTTTTGTATGTGATCCACTTTTCATCTCCCGTAACAATTTTAGCCAAAAAAGATTTCTCTTTTTGCCAAGAAAGCAAGGTAGCAGCTATCGACTTTCTGTCAGCCTTATTCCGTTCACTGAGGTTATGTGGAACCCAAACTCCCAACTTGCTTACTTTTCCTAGCTTTTGGAGGTGACGATTGATAGTTGATTGGGATGTGTGCAGCTTCTCTGCTAACTCTCTTGTCGTTTGCCATGGATTCTGCTCAATCAAGGCCTTTAAAACGTCATCATCGAAGTCTGAGGAGCGGCCTGGTCTTTCATCATCTTTTAAGGAAAAATCACCTGAACGAAATTTTGTAAACCACTTACGAACTACTCTGTCTGAAATCACGCCACTGCCATAGACATTGCAAATCTTTTTTGCTGTTTCTGTAGCGTTTTTGCCGAGTTTAAACTCCCACAACATGATATGGCGTACATGCACTTTCAAATGTTCCATTTTAAATGAATTCAGAAACAATTTTTTATTACATTATTGACACTTCAGTGTTAAAATTTACATTTATAGACTATTTGCTAATAGCCACTAATAAAACTCAGATGAAGCAACACAACATCTGTCAAGTATTCGACAGTCATTTACACCTACTTGCTAACGGAACTTATTTATGACTCAACCCAATAGTTTATTTATTTTTAAACAAGAAGTACAGCAAAGTATTGGGTGCATGTAGATGGCAAGCAGCCAAGTAAGCAAGCCAAGCACAGAGAGTGTTTTATATAAAAAGAAATATGTCGTTAGCTTGCTTGCTTAGATACAGTACAGTACTTGCCACCTAAATGCACTTATTTATACTAAAATGTTTTCAGTAACATTATTTGCAATAAATAATGCGGAGGTATTATTTATTGAAAATAATGTAATAGTTAAGAGCAGTATAAAAATTTTGGAATAATATCAGTGTTTAGAAATAAATACACAATATTCTGTATGAAAACCGTGCATTTCTTCCTAAAACTGCATAAAACATATATAAAATGGTAAAGAACCGATTCCATTAAAATTATGTTCTGGAGTTTACACAATAAAGTTAAAGACGATAAAAAAATATTACACTGACTCAATTTAGATAAATTTAAAAACGAGAATATCAGAGATATGATGTGTCTGATACTGTGAATGAGTTGTCAACAATCTTTTCCATGATGCATATAAAAGAATCATACAAGTGATGTGATCAAGAGAAGGTGAAAAAAAGCATGCTTTAAAACTGAAGAGAAAATATTTATTTCCTCTTCAGTTCTCTTCTTTATGTAATAACATGTATTACAAGTAAGTTGTGAATCTCAAACTTTCTGAAGAATTTTCACAATCTCGGAATGAAAAGAATGTTTAATGAAATTAGAAAGTAGAAAAGGTGTTAATAACAAGGATATTTATCTAATTGTTGAGATTGAAATATAGTACTATATAAATAATATAAATTGTTATGAATTTTAAATGTAATGAATAATTTTTTAGGAATACTTCAAACATCCAGGTTTAAATATTTCTATTAGAGTTCAACAATGTTCAAGTCATCTTTTGGAAATACCGAGCTAAGCTGAGCTCTTAACACGTGAACTGTGACCTGAGCCGAGCTTAACAGGTTTAAATATAAAAACATTTAGCATCCATAAGCATTTTCTAGAAATTAGGATGTCATCATAGAAACGTGACACGTTTAACAGGTTTAAGATTTCGGCTGAGGTCGCAGTTTACCTGTTAATTAAGAGTTCAAATTACTCGATATTTCCAAATAGCTGACTGTTGAACTTTGCCGAACTCTAATAGAAACATTCGAACCGGATGTTTGAATTATTCCTAAAAAATACTGATTATATTTATTTAAAAGTCATAACAATTTATGTTGTAGCCTACATATATTATTTATATAATACATTACTGTATTTCAACTGCGAGCTTGGGTGTGTTGCAAGAGGCCTATTTTAAAATTAAATTGTATCTGTAATAATAACTGATATACAGTATCGGATATGTTTTTATTTATCTGTTATAAAAATGAGAGCATTCAGATAACTTAAATATTAAGCAATTGAACTAGAAACAATTTTTAGAAAAAATTTAAGAGAATTATTAAAAGTAATAAGAGTAATGCAGTAAACCCTGATTTAACGGACTAATTAGGGAAACTGGTGTCTGCTATTGCCAAAATTCCGTTAAATACGAAGTATGTTAAGTAGAGGGTATTATAATACGACACAAATGACAAACATTTCTAGCAAAGCATGTTTATTCCACAGTAGAGTCCCGATAATTCGAAATGGACGGGACCGAAACTACCTTGATTTACAAAAACACTCGAAATATATATAGAATAACAGAAAACATCGGAAGAGATGAAAGAAGAAATAATACATATTTAGCATAAGCGTAATGTTCATCTCGAAAATGAATAATTCTGGACGAGAGCTGAGATGGCCGTCAAAATATATATGCTTATTTGGAAGAATTTAATTTTATATTACCGTAGAAATTTGTATTCTTTAATAAGTAGAACAAACTCAAATTTAAATCATTGTAAAGTCACACCCTCAAAACATTTCGATGCAAATAATTTTTTGAGGTTTACGAAGTTTGAAATCTCACTAAAATTAAATGTATAGTTGTTATAACCAACTGTTAATAGTCTTATTTATTTATTTTTGGATTAATTTAATTCGTATTTATCATTTTTATATTACCTGGTGTTATATTGAATTACTAAAACTTTAATCAGGTAATTAAAATATAAATTTCATCTTGAAAGATATACCAGAAAACTGCAAGTTTTAATGATTAAAGATTTACGTTTATTTGGTTACAGGTGGGGGATCTACAGAGTGATGCCTCTGAAGAAGACTTTTATGGGAAACTGGCTCTTATATAATTGTTACAAAGATGAAAAAATCCAGAAAACTCCTCGTCGCGAGGCTCGAATCCACGACTTTATAAAACTACTACTTAGAAATGGTATTTCAAAATGTTAGGTAATTAATAACCAGATCTTAGTGAAAAAATAATACAGTGATTTACTTTTACTATCCGGGAAAGTATAGTAATCGGTGAAAAACTGACTTCCTAAGAGTTTTACAGTTATTTACTCAGGAGACTTTGAAACGTCGAGAAACGAAGAAAAAAAATTAGGTATTTGAGCACAATTTTGTTCTCCCAATTTGAAGCTTAATAACTCCTGTGCCTTTTGTCGAACATTTATGAAAGTTTGCACGAAGGTTTGCGTATTAGAAGATTCATGCTGATGAATTTTGGTGGTAAAGGTGAAGGGTTGTGAAGATATATAATATATATCTTCCCAACCTATCTTACAAGGTATATATNAAAGTGTGAGTGCTAATAGTAAGTAAAATCTTCATTAATTAATTAAGTCTGATGCCTCTCGAGATATGACAGTAACCCCGCCCTCTATCTTCCCATCCTTTCGGCCTTTAACCACCAAAATTTACTAGCATTAATAACCCTTGTAAACAAACTATCATGCCAAATTTAACCATTCTTAATCATTATCCCACCCTGAGATTTAAAACGAAATACTCGCCAAATCATACTCATATTACCTATCCACAGAATTTTCTCATTTTATTTTTACTTTTTTGGGTTCAGAGGGCCTCAAAACGTAGAGATTTGACACCAGGAGAATCAAATTTAACATAATTCTAATACTTTCCGTTCTTATGTATACATGACAATAGAAAAAGTAAAACGCTATTTAAAGTTAAGTTTAAACTTTGAATTCGAACATGGTTGCCTTAAAAACATCCGTTTCGCTAATAAAAATCACATCATTTTCGCTTTTTTCATTATTGTTCTTTGTTAATTCTTTTAGAGATGCATTTAAATTCTGTTTTTAGATTTTTGAACAGACTATCATTATCCGTAAGAGAAAATACATCAAAACTAAATAATATTCGAATGTATCTTCGAAAGTTTTTAATTTTGTATTTTTAAAGATATAATTTTGTGTTTATGTATTAAGAATTTCATGATTAATTTTGATACTGAAAATGTATCCGTATAAACTAATAACTTGATGTAGAATATCATAAAATATTTACATAATAATAATCTGGAATAAGTTAATTCTGTCAGATACCGATGAGACTACTAAGAGTTAATTTTTAACTACCCCATGTACTGCACTGTACCATAGCATACCGTACTGGGCTATCTAGTCTTGTCTACTCTGTGGACTTTATCTTTCGTGGGAGGAGAAATATATATTTTAATAATAAAACATTTTATTTAAAATATCAAGATGGTTTTTCACCTTCGTTCATATATGTACTCTGTGTGCGTGTGCGTGCGTGTGAGGTGGGCAAAATGAATGTAAGATGTAAGTTTATCTTTTATTTTTTATTGTTGTTTTCTTGCTTTGTCTTCTTTCTTATCGTCAATGCGGGAGCTGAATCAATCAGCAGACAGCGTCAGCCGAACCAAGAGCCGATTAGTCGATGGAACGGAGAATGCGACCAATCAGAAGCTAGACGATTAGGAGAAAATAAAAAGCAAAGGTCGTCGGGTCCGAAAAAGAAAATAAAGAGGAAAAAGAAGGAAGAGAAAGAAACGAAGGAATATAGAAGTGTCCTTGGCCTGGATTGCTGTCCGTCTTCAGAGTAATGCTGTACATTACTGTACTGTACTTCACTCCTACCGCCTTTTATACTGTACAATACGTACAGTACATGGAATACACATGGCCTTCTTAAAGAAAAAAGAAAAGATTATACTATATTATAGAATAAAAATTAATTAATTCAGCTGTCACTTATCCGAAAATTAGAGATAAAATGCAGTTTATGATTTATAGATTTATAAACATAAATTCTGTTGTTAGAAGATTATATAAATGACATTTATACTTTCGTTATCTTCGAATAAATAAACACTAAAATTGCCTTTTTGTTTTTGGTTTCTTTTTAAAAATAAACTAAGAGAAGTCTAAACGATATTTCCAACCTTTTTCCTCCCACTATAAATTTATGCATAAATTCATTATTATTCACTATAAGTTATAACGAATCTGATATTTTAGATTTAATTATTTTTCTAAATTAATATTAAAGCGTAAATTACTTCAGGATATTATTTAACTGAAAACAGTTATTTAAATATTTAATATGTTTATCCTTTTCTAATATACTTTATTTGTTCGAATTTCATTTTCTGTTAGGGCAATTCACTTATCGGAAGCATTCGCTAGAAATTAGAGTTTCTCTAGTAAATTAAAAAGGAAATAAAGTTTAAAAATACCTTATCTCGTTAAAATTTAAACAATAATAAGAATAATCTAACTCTTTGATTAAAATGATTTGATAAAAATTCGAATTTTAGTAATTTAAATACATTGAATAACGTATAAATACTGGAAAACTCTAATTAAATACAAGTATTTATCTTCAGGATAGTTGATAACAGAAACTAATATACTGTACTGTACATTTATTTTAGAAGATGCATACAATTTAAACTAATTTAAGATCTATTTAATTATTTTTTACAACACATTCGTAGAATGCCACAATAGTATTAAACAACACAGTCTTAAGATATCTATAACTTTTTCAATTTAAATTATAATTTACAAATTTTATAAAATTTTTATAAAATGGTATAATTTGAGCTATTTTTTACGAAAAAAGACCCTTATATTTTTAATTATAATTATAAAAAGAAGGAAAATTACAAGTAATCCCAAGTCCTGAAACTAATATAGAATTACAGTTCGAAATATTAAAATAATAATAATAAAAACTATAAACTTCTTAAAAGAATTCCTGAATAATTCGAGATTTTTATAAACAAATTTACAATGAAACATAAACATTTTTTTTCTATTAAGTTAACGTGAACTTTTTCGTTGTTAATATATT